TAGCATACCAACTTAGTGAGAACTTTAAAGTGAAATATTCATATAAGTAAGCGGTAGTGGAGTACAAACTGCAAGGCAATAGAGAGTCTACAATTTGGGAAGCTCCAACAATTGGAGAACATGCAAAAGCTAGACTTAAGATGGCTCACCTTCGTCCCAGCTAGGAATTCTTCTGGCTAAATAAGGAGTAGAACAGCTACGTCCAGATGTCCTAGATCAACACAAACGCCCTAGTTAACTAACGCATTTAAATGTCCTGCAAATTCACCGGCAAATATAGCAACACACGTAAATAATTGCGCACGACGATTCTTCTTGAAATTACTTTACCACACACAACACAACGCATGCATGGAATGGAAAAGGGGGGAACATGGAACTCGGGGGAAATATAACGAATCAAACTACGGAACAATGTGAAGTTGGTGTTGGAGAGCTTCTTCTTGCCTTCCTTCCTCCACTGGTGACACATGACGTAGGTGTCCGCTCCTCATTCCTGGCATCACCACTCAAAGCAACCGTATAGCAGGAGAAAAAAGATCAGATCCAACACATCGCAACGCCACCTCCTGCACCGGCATGCCGTGTGTAGTCTACATCACATGAGCATGAACAACAAATTGAAGGAGACAGAGAAAGATGTGGGAGCTACAACACATGAGCATGAACAAAAAAATATCAATACATTAGCAACTGCAAGAAGTAAAAGTTCACATTAATAAAGTAGCTCACTATACTTGGAAGAAATCTGCAACAAATTGAAGGAGACATGGAAATGTGGGTGCTAAAGTACATGTGCATGAACAATAACATATCAGTGCATTAGCAACTGAAGAAGAAAAATTCATATCAATATTATTTGTTATGTTTAAGCAGCAGCAGCACACACACAACCCAAAATTGCATCATCATAAATAGATAGAGAATTAATTAATAAGCAGAACAAAAGAAGCAAGACGACGCCCAGTGTCCGCGTAATCTACCACCCACCGTGCCCGTGGTGCATATGACAACAACTGTTGTGTGTTCCCTTCGCTACCGCTCCTCTGAGAAAACTGAAAATAATCATGTACTCAGGTTTAGTCAGTAAGGAAAAGGCATGTAGAAAACTTAATTACTGTGTCTGACTCATGATACATGTCTTTGAGTCTTTCAACAATGTAGCACCGATCGTTGTATCTTTCTTTAGCAACATTGAAATCCGCATGAACCTTTAGCTTCAAAATTGCGTAACAAGCAGGCCAATTATAGGAGATAACATGACATGGACTTAAGAAATAAACAGAATACAAAGGGGAACTTTAAAAGGAAAATTCAGTGTAACAATACTGTGTTTTATCTATCTGACTATTCAAGTAAGGGTAGACTTTATATTTCTCTTTGTACTCCTGCAAATAATCTTTGTACCTGAAAATAAATATAATCAGTTTGTTCCATGTGTGAAAGCAAGCCGCCCAAAGCATGTCACGCCAAAACATTGTGAAGTGAGCAGATTTGTAACAACAAGAGAATAATAGGAGGGATTAGATTCATAATAGTAAACTTGGCAGCGGCAGCCAAGAAGTGAATTGATCATCTGACCTTGACCGGTCGTCCATCCAAGGAACACACCAAAGTACCAATCTCTGTGTTAGCGTTGTCGCCGAAATAGCAGCAGCACACCACACATCTTCTGCTGAAATCAACAGCTGAAGCTTCCCACAGAAGATAGTTAATCAGTATAAAATTCTTCCATCCCATCCGAAGCCTCCTCCCAATCTCCCGCGCACACAGCAGCAGCAGCCAGCAGACAACACCGGACACCAGAGGGAGACGAGCACCGGGACGACGCCTAGACCTCTCCCTCGCCCCAAGCGCTTCCTCCATCCGGGCGGACTCTGCAGGCGGCGGCGGCATGGCCATGCTGGCAGGGATCCGATTGCGGAGGAAAGGGAGGCCACGTTTGTTTTTTTCCTCCTTTGATTTTTGCTCCGATGGCAAACTCTGGCTCGCCTGGCCCTCCTATGTTTTTTTGGCTAAATGTGGAAGATTTTTTTTTTGGGCGATTTGTTCTTTTTTTTTTGAGCATCAGTACAGACACAAGCGCTCATATACACGCGCATACACTCATCCCTATGAACGCACACACGCACACCCTACCCCTATGAGCACCTCCGAAAGACTGAGCCGGCATATCATCTTGAGATTTACGAAGTCACCGCAGGCGCCTCGTCGTCGACGGGAACGTCTCCTCCCACTGAATGCGCATCGCCGAAAATCCTGAAATAATCCAGGAATAAATGCGAGCACCAGGATTTGAACCCTGGTGGGCTGGGGATACCACAGTCTCTAACCATCCAACCAATAGGTTGGTTCAAATGTGGAAGATTTCGGCTCTACATGGAAACACTACCGCTTAATCCTAAATTGTGATATGATTTGTGTTATATATGGAATACATGTTATATATGGATATATGGCTGATTGGTTGAATGGCTGCCGATTTACTTCGTTGGTTGATTGACTGCTGATTTACTTCATATATATATATGGAATACATGGATGGCTGCCGGTTCATTTCATTGTAAAAAAAGCGAGAGCAATCTAAAAAATCAGTAGCAATAAAAATCGGTGGGAGGGGTGGATCGGTGGATGGGGAGATCGAGATGGGAGGGGGAGCGAGGGAACGAACGAACGAAGGAACAACATACGAACTCCTCCATTAGAAGTAGAGATATATATATGGAAT